CATATTCCGTCAGACATAACTTCAAAATGATAATATAAAATTTTGATCTTCCTTTTATTTGTCCTCAATTCGAAAAAGTATTTGTGAAATGCAGAAAGAAAGTGAATTCAAAGTAAAATTTGTATGAGGATATTAATATAGACACTTGTTGAAAGAAAGCAATCTCTGGATTACGTCTGCATTACTCCTGCATTACTTTTCAACTAGCTTCAGGTTAGTTTCTTATAGCAAACTACAAGTTATCCCGCAAAAATAGCTAACTACAAGTTGGTTAGTTTTTATCAATTGGTAAAGTTTTTCTGCAGGGATATCTACATACGTACATTTGTATATGCAGCTCCTCTCAAGCACTGATGCTGACCAAGACAACACATTCGCTACGAGTATCTGAATGTAACACATTCAAAAAAACGTTATTATTTTTAATTAGAAAGAAAAAAAATAAAGGAACACAAAAAAAAATAAAATAAAGAAAGATTAAAGAAACAAAAAATCACACCAAAGCCACCATTCGAGCTAAAGAAAGTGAAATGCGTAGCTTGGTAGAAAATTAGAGGGTTGTTGCCCCGTTGCTTGTCCGATCGCATATTTGTGTATGTACATATGTATGTACATATCTAAGTTACGTTACCCTTGATCAAACTATGTTCATAAAAAAGTATGTATGTATGTATGTAGCATTGAAATACCCAATTATTGAGGTCTACCGCCGCATGAAAAGGATTTGTTTCGTATTGATTTGCTCTGATTGACGTGCAGGAAACGGCAGGTTTGGTTTATGATTTTATTTCTTTTTTTTTTCAAATTACAATTACAAAAATTGGAATCTGATGAAGACAGGTATTGCATGTCATGATGGAATAAAATTTGATTGTACATTATTATGCATTTCTAGTATGCTTTTCGACATACCTTTTCGTTTTGATTTTCATAATAAGAATTTAGTAAAGATTTCAGAGGATTTAGGCGAAAGTAAATTCAAAAAAAACAAAAAAAACAAGAGATAGGAAAGAAGGGGTGTTTCTTAATGATACTTAATATCCGGTCATTCGGGATGCTCTTATCATACGTATATGTACATATGTATATATTTATTTGTACTTACTGCTTCTTAATTATATTCCTTTTGATTGGTGGAGATTTTCATTCAACTTACAAAAAAAAAATCTCGTTTCTTCAAATTGGTAGCGTTGAGATAGCCGAAATCCCTTCAGATGTAACTTTCGAATTGAGATTCATTCCAGACGAGTGCATCAAACGTTATCTGCCGTATTATCCAACAACAAATATGGCGCAAAGAGCATTCTCTTGTACATACATTTAACATTGAGAGCAGTGTTGCCACTATTGGTCTTTTCCGACAAAATTTGTTCGCTTCTTTTTCATTTGGTAGGTTGGTAGGCAAAGTAAGATTCTGGTCGGATAGCTGAATTAAGTTATTAAATTCTTAATTATAAAAATTTATATTTCAAACATCATCTGCATATAAATATTTGCCAATTGTACCTTTCGAATTCCCTCGAGTCAGGGACTCAATTTGAATTGCTTACTCAATAGGTAGACAATACGGAAAAACCTTAGCCCATGAAACTTTTTACAAGCCGCATGAGCCATTAGTATGACAGCCACACTGACGAATTTCTGCATATTTGACTGGCCATGAAGCTAAAAATGTTTCGTGGAAAACGATCATACGGCCAAAGCCAACACAAAGCTGATCCATACCCACCGTAATAAGAATGCAATTACCATTGAAATCGCTGATCTGGCTAACTAAAGAACCGGCCTCCCAGCTCAACCCGCAACATAAACATAAAACTCCTGACCCGACTGCCAAATGTGATGTGTAGAAATCCGCAAGACCAATGAATACAGAATTATGTTGCTAAATTGACGGATCTACATACATATAAACGGTTGGGTTTAAACTCAATGGAAAGGTCGGATAAGATGTTTATTCAGATTGGTCTGTTTTCGCCAATCCGATTACTGTAGTTCCACTCAGGCCTACCTGATGCCTATTTCAAAGGTTAAATTTCTAGCAATAAAATCTACGTTTGCGCTTACGAGTATATAATCATTAGAAAACGTCGCTTACATATTAAAAAACCGCGACTGATCACTAATGAAATGGCTGGAATATTTCGTAAACATATTGTGTGGGTAGGCCGTAGCGACATTAACACGGCACTTCTGGCTAAGATAGTTTCAGGTCTTTTGTAAGACAGATGAAGGTCAGTAGTATTCTGGCACGAAAGTCTTACAAACACTTGTGCATATACCAAATGTAGATTAATACGTACTTACAGTATCGGTCATATCTATAGCACGCCATTTCAAAGTGATATTGTGTGCGACTTATGTTTATTTATTTATTTTTAAGAATTTTTAATTAAAATACAGTTCATTCTCAGACAAACCCCATATAAACCCAAGTGTAATAGTTTGTAGAAAACTACAAAAAAGTGCAACAAATATTTACCTTAATTACAAACTTTTTTCTCGGAAGTGTTAGAATTTTTTTGAGTACACAGTTTTTTAGTCTGATAATGTGCAAGTTTCAAGTGGCTAAAGATTACCGGATTTCTTCCATATACAAATAAATTGAGTTTATTCATTATATGGAAGCCAATGCGACAAACAAAAATCTAAAAAATAAACGGTAATTCGTAGCCACTTCAAATTTGCATATTATCAGACTAAAAATGAAGGGGCTAAAAAACTGTGTACTCAAGAAAATTCTAACGCTTCCGAGAAAAAAGTTTGAAATTTACGTGAAAATTTGTTGCACTTTTTTGTAGCTTTCTACAAATTATTAAGCTTGGGTTTGTATCGGGTTTGTCTGAGAATAAACTATATTTTTAATTGAAAATTCTTAAAAAATAATAAATAAATATAAGTGGCACACAATATCACTTTGAAATGGCGTGCTATAGATATGACCGATACTGTATGTATGTAGTATATCATTTTGCTCCCGCTGCTCCAACAGTCGCAATGGCCGTGTGAGCAAAGCACTGGCGTGCTATGCCGATCGAAAGATCCGAGGTTCGAATCCTCGGGAAGCGGTTTTTTTATTGTTATAAAAAGAAATAATTTTTTTTTTATTTCATGTAAGTTTTTATTTACTTTTCTTTTAAATTTTGATGTTATTGTTTTAAAATGAAAATTTTTTATATTCATTACGTTTTAGGAACTTATTTCCTTTTTTACAAGTAATTTTTTTATTTGTTTTTTTTTTCAAGGGATCCGAGCTTCGAGCGTCGAATTCTCGGGGAGCACAATTTGTAATTTTTTGTACCTCTTTCTTTTTTACTTAAATTTCTTTTAAATTTTTACATTTAATAGTTTTAAAACGAAAAAAAATATTAAAAACATTTGATTCTAAGAAATAATTTTTATCATATAATTCATAATTTTATAATTTTTTTCTTTATAATTAAATTTTCTTTTAATTTTTAAATTATATTGTTTTAAAAATAAAAAAAACTTAATTTACATTTACATGTGAACATTTTTACAATTCTTTTTTCCCCTTTTTTTCAAGAGATCTGGGCTCTGCAAGCGGATATTATATTTTATATTTTTTCTTTTATTTTTTTTTGTGTCGTTCTTTTACTTAAATTTAATTTTAATTTTTCGGTTTAACTGTTTTAAAAAGAAACATTTTTTTAATTTAATTTTTTATTTTTATTGTTTTATCAATATAATTTTCTTTTAATTTTTAGATTTTATTGTTTGCCAAACCAAATTTTTTTAATGTAATTTTTAGGAATTTATTTTCTTTTTTAGGGCTAACTTTTTTCTTTTTTCATTTAATTTTCTTTTAATTTTTAGATTCCATTGCTTTAGGTCTTATAGTGTAAAATGAAATAACATGTTTTTTAATTTATTTTTTTTTGTATTTATTTCTTTTTATCATTAAGTTTCTCCTTTTATAATTTTTAGATTTTATTGTTTTAAAAAAATATATTATTTTTTTATTTTTAATTTGTTTAGTTTAAAGTTTTCGATTTTATTGTATTAAAAATAAAATTTAGTGTAAATATGATTTTTTTAATTTTCATTGTATTTTTAGAAACTTTTTTTGATTAGTTTTTTAAATTAAATTTTCTTTTAATTTTTAGACTTAATCTTTTTCAATTTCCTTTGATTTCTATAAAAATAAGTTTTTTTTTTCTTTTTTAATCTATTTATTTTTCTTTTTCTAATTAAGTTTTGATTTCATTTGTTTGTAAAAATTTTTTTATTTCATTTAATTTTTAAAAGCTTTTTTATATTTTTTTTACATTTAACTTTTTAATTTTTCATAAAATGTTTAGTTTTTATTGTTTTAAACATTTTTTATTTGCTTTATTTCTTAGAAAACTTATTTCTAAAACACAAGCAGAGTAACGCTACGACCTCCTCGTTAGCAGTCTCATTAAGTCTTTCAAAAGACAGAAAAGAGCTTACTTCGTTAGTTGCCACAATTGCCTTAAGAAGTACTGTGATGAGTCAAAATATAGTTGATAGCACTCCTGTAGGGGTAATTGCAATGCAGATGAGCTTTGTTCCTGGTACGCCGGTAGTCTTTGCGGGCCATTGTTTTATTGGCTTATATGTATGTAGCCAGTTTAGGAGTTCCTTGCAAAGTTTTCTGTAAAATCTGTCGGAATGAAACTATATTACATCTTTTCTATCATTGCCCGGGTGTCGCTAGACGGTCGTTTTAACCTTACCCACCTTTTTTTTGTGTTACACAAAGAGTTTTCTCTAGGCAGACGTAGCCTTCATTAGTTAGTGCCACCTGCTGTCTTTAAGAGCGGACATATCAGACCAAACGTTAGACAGCCACTTCCTCAAGAGTTTATCGGTTTTGTTTCAGAACCTGTGGTAGGCTCAAAGTAAATGAATACGTTCGCAAATATTCGCATTCTATGACAAAGGATTCAGCAATACTTACATATGCTTTTCTAAAATAAAAAAAACTCCCAATTTCTTTCTTTTGATTATGTAATTATTTCATGTTTCTTTTAAAAGTATACTTATGCAAAATTTTTTAAAAATTCTCTCTAATTCAACTAATACAATTTAATAAACTTAATGACAATATTTAACAATTGTGCGAAATCACATCGACGATACAACTGCCGGCAGCTGGCGCTGGAAGCGTGGCTACTTGCAAATGCCTCTCCTCTACTTTAAAGCTTTATGTTTGGTGGGCGACATGGCGCGTGTTGGCGTGTCACTCGTTTTAAGTTGCATGGATTGGTTGACGGCAGGCGTTGCCTGCACGTCTGGAAGACTTTATCACTGAGCAATTAACATTTAAGTTTTGTACTGGGACGTTTGCCGATTTAACGACTTGACGCCTGCGCACCACACTACCATGGTCGCCAGACATCTTCCTCCTCGGCCCGAGCTGCATGACTGCCCGTAGTGGCATCAATGGGCGAGTGACCGCTGTAGGTGGTGAGTAGATTTTGACTTTGTCCATGTTTTTCGCTGCTGACGCTCGAATTCGGACTACCATTGTAGCTGGAGATGGGTGAAATGGGTACCGAATAATGCGCGCCGCGTCCTCCCGCTGTTTGAGCAATGTGTACCGAAAGCGGTGCGGTAATGGGTGTGGGTGCATGTACGGCAGGCTGCAATTGATTTAAGCGCTGGCCGAGATGTGTCATCAGCTGTGTGCCAAGATTAACATTAACGCCGGGCAATTGCGAGAGCGAACGGGACACCTCGTTGACTGCATGAATGTAACCGGAACGGAAACCCTCAGCTTTTGACATAGCGCCACCCTTTGAGGCGGCCGCTTTGCGTTGTTGCTTCAACTTTTGCAAATGGGCAACGGTCAGCTCGAGAATATCGGCTTTCTCCAATCTCGTGACATGTTCACCCTCCGACTCCAATGTGACGACCATTAAATCTTTCAACTCGTCCAGGCACTTGTTGATGCGTGCGCGCCGTTTACGCTCCAACATTGGCTTCATCACTTTGCGATATTGGTAGGTCTTGGACATTTCCGATACTTGTATGGACATTGTGGTGGCTTAGTGTGCGTGTGTGTGTGTGTGTGTGAAGTACTAAAATTCAGCGTGACTTTTACTGCTGAGTGCTTGCGGTGGAATGCATGACTCCTTCGACAGGCTGTGCTCTTTTATACCTATCTCCTCTGCTAAGGAATGTTGCAGTGACTCCGAGCCGAGAGAGCAACCTTCACAAGACTTTTGTAAAGACACGCAAGCAGGCGCTTGAGAATTCGATGCTCTATCGCATACAATAGTCATATCAGAGAGCCGCACGTCCTTTTGTGTCCTTTTCCTGCCTTCCCTTGATTGTATTCGCTCAGCTCGATAAAGTAGAAATCAACCCTCAATTTCCTCTTACCCTTCTTCGTTTCATGGCTGGCAGGCCAGCACACACAAACACATACATGGGCGCTCGCTTCTTTTTGGTTGCTTACACTTCGCGCTGCCCTTTGCCCAGTCGCCCTTCTTGGCAGCCCATTCCTTTGCATGAATCCTCGGTTTGTCTTACTGGCAAGTCACCCCTTGTTTACTCGCCGTACGCGCGTGTGTGTGTGTGTGTGTGTGTACTTTAGGGGAGGAAATCAAACTTCAATACACGTGAAGATGAAGGATCATTGGGATCGCTCCAAACCGTGGGAACTACGTTCCTTGTAGGTTTCTCACACATCGTAGAGCTCACCTGCGCATGCAGCCAGAAGACAGCCGGACAATATGCCAGTCCGTCAGCCAGCTTGCCAACCAGCCAGCCGGGCCAGAGGTGAGTAAGGATAAGGGCGCACATACATACATGGACACCCTTACGGAATGCGTGACGTTGAGCTGGTATGTATGTTGGCTTGTTGGCGAGCAGTCAGCCGGCTCCTCGGGGTCGTATACTGAGCAAAGCATGGGAATTTTGCAATCTGGTCGTCCGTTATGAGGTGAACGGCTGTGCAAGGCGGCTGACATGCACCGAACTGAGCGCTGAGCTGTGAAGTACTGTAATGAGTTGAATCGTTGCAGCTGTGCTGCTGCTACTGCAGTTACTGTTTCTTCGATTCCGATTTCAATTCTTCGCGCTGGCTGTATGTAATAATCCTTAATCGTTGTATCCTGTTGCACGCAAGGACCAACGGAACGTTAAAGAAGGGAAAATAATTGAAATGATATCAACCAAGCAAACAACAGCAGGAAAAAATAATAATAAGAAAAAAAGGCGACGAAAGCGTAACGCGTCAGGGAATTCCTTTAAAGTGTACAACGCTTGCTGCAGCTGTTGTTGTTGTTGTTGCTCAACTGTTTATGTCCGTCTGTGCATAATGAAATCAATCGTAATGTGGGAAAGCGTTCCCACGGTTTGCATCGACATCGAGCGGGTCGGGTCGTTAGCGTTGTTTGAATCGCATGCTTGGCCAGCGGTAGCCAAGAAAGTGAAAAGGTTTGTGTACAACATTGCAGTCGTTGTTTTTGCTGTTGTACTGTTGCCATTGGCGTGTCGTGTCGTGACGTACGAGTATTCAGACGGCAGGGAAATGTGAGCATGGGTTATCATAACGACTTCCTGTCAATTGGGCGAGCGCTTTGTGTCTCATCACACTAGCTGACTAGCTGCTGCGGTTATTCTCATTCATTTTCTTGCACTGCTTTTGGCGCTTTTTTTCGTCTGTGCGTTTTGGTCGAAGCGTGCACGCGAGCGCACTTGTTTTCTCAGGGTCGTAATTTTGTACTTATGAATAGACTTTTGCTTGGCCCACGTTGCTTTGCTGTGCGTACGCACGCTGAATGGACGTGTGTGCTGCGCATGCGCGGCTGACTTTTATATCGGCGGCGTTTTGGATAAGTG